GCTGTACCTAGTGTCAGGACCATAGTTCGCTGCTTGTGAGGGTCCCCTCCTTCATCTTTTATTGACTGTACATTCTACATCTTTAATAGCCCATATGGCGAAGGAAACGGGTGAATGATTTCACTCTGTCTTGCTTTTATTAATCCCAAATTATGGATCAAGTCACAAATAATGATGGCGCTGGTGCTTTATGAATTGCAGTTTTTACTTGTACTAGTCCTGGGCAGTTGGGAGCCACCAGACGCCAGCCCAAGCAGCTGTAGCCTGCGCACCAGTCAGCACCAGTGAGCAGCGTGCGCGTGGATGTGTGAAACGGCCCGTCTCTGGGCAGGCGAGTTCATACCAGGGCAACAGAGACTGGAGCTGCCTTCTGCGAGCTGCGCAGTAAGTTATTTTTTTCCCAGAGGTGGAAAGCAGACTATCACTGAGTGATTTGAAATCGAAATAACAGATTTTATTGCAGAACTTAGAAGGCTGCTTAAAAAGGAGCAAAGGAAGACACAAGGAATATCTGTCTGACACTTCTGAAGTGAGCCTGAAAAAAGAGGGATGAAATCAAAGTGATGAAGACAACAGCAATTCTGGATCTGAGCAAGACCTTACAGGAATCGCAGGGACAAAAGAGGAGAGCCCTATTCTGGATTATGCTCTCTTTGGAAAGCCCCAGCCAAGACCTTCATGAAAATTTTGATTCTTTATCACAAAGTGGTTAATTGTGATGTTCCCTGGGAAGGAGCTTGCATCAATGTGAATACTGGCTGGGGGCCCCCATCATGGACACGTTGCTACTTTGGATTAAGTGCAAATGAGATGACTTTCTCAGTCCTGTTGCCTTCTGCATTGACAGAAGTTAGGGGTGGGAGGACTTCCTCATGAAATTCAGGGGACGTATGACCCTTATGGTGGTTGAATGTGTGTAATGACTGAGCCGTTCAGCTCTCAGACAGACTTCACTTGTTGGTGGCTTTGCAGCTCTCACAATCTATCTGCTAACAACAAAAATATTCCAATTATTTGGAACGATGACATCACCCCTGCAGTTGGCCCAGAGCCAACATCAGCACTCCGACAAAACAGACAGTTACTTCTCATAGAGAATTATCGTGTTCTTCGTCCCGAAGAACCCTGCTGGTTGCTCACATGCCACCGCATCTCTCCGCTTCAGCCTGAACAAACCTGGCTTACACCAAACGCGGCGGGGAGCCGTGGAGCTTGGAGGACCAAGAGGGATAAGCTGTTCCGAGGTGCAGAGCTGAGCCGTTCTGCTGCAAAGTGAAATGGTTCGGGATCGGCCAAGGGAGCAGTGAAAGCTGCTGGGGAAGTGGCACCAAGGCTGAACCTCAGCTGTTGCAAATGGAAAGGTCAGCGGAGGATGCTCACACTGAAAAAACCTGGAAAAAGCAGACAGGTATCTAAAACATTTTGAAAACCCTCCTGTTGTGCTTTTTTCAGTGTAGTAAGTCCTTGTTGGAATAATTACCTAACAGTGAAATTATCCCACTCTGCTAGAGGCGGATTTCTTGCTAAAGTGAGAACAAGTATAGTATTTTAAGGTAAAATATGATAGTTTGGAGGTCCCAGAGGGCAGAATGGGCAGAGCTGCACTCAGCGCATGGACACTAATTCCCTGTCATTTCCCTGTAAATCATATCACATCTGGCCTGGTAAACCATATCACATCTGCCGTTTGAATTTTAGGCCAAGATGAAAGGAATCTTGTAAAGCCCTGTAGCTCCAGAACGCTACGTATTTAAAGCGGTAAATTCTCGCAGGGACTGTGATCCTTTTGCAGCATAGATTTGTTGAGGGCAGGCTGCTGGGAGGGAGAGCAGAGTCGCTTCATGGGACCACACCGGCAGCAGGTACCTGGGGTCCTGCTGCTGCCGGCAAAAGGTGCTGCCGCCATGCTGGGGTGGTTTGTGTCCGCGTAATGCCTTAGGTCTAGAAACCACCAGAAAATCGGCTGGGAGCTTCTCTGTGTCCTGCTTAGAGTGAATTTGTCAAGATCCATCTGTTTAGGCACCACTGGAGTTGTGTGTCAGGTTCCTGGAAGGAAGAAAGGCGAAGGACCTTTCCATGACCCAGCGCAGAGCTGGTCCCTGCAGAATCTTCCACAGACAGTTGGGAGAAAATCCTGAGCTGTTTGAATTTCCCATAAAAGGGAGGAAGCGAACTGGCAGCGTAAGTGCCTATGAAGGCAAAAAAACAACCAAAACAGGCTTTTCTTCTGCCCTGTCCACTGGATTGTGAAGGCCTGAAAGGCTCTGAACGGGCAGGTTCTGTTCTAAGGCCTGAATTCTTTCTCCATCCATTGGGACCGCTGGAAGGCTTTCTGGACAGACAGAAAAGAGGTCAGTACGTATCAGAGACGGCAGAGAAACCTGCGGATTTGTCTGCGCGGGGATGATTAAATCTCGGCGACGGATTACCCAGCCTGGACACTGCACACCTGTCTTCCAGGCCAGGACCGCAAGCAAATGTCCAGCTCAGCCTGTGCGAACGCACGAATGAGCTCGAATGATTTGCGATCAGTTGACGCCAGCCGAGTACTTCTGTGTTCCCGTGTTTACAACTGGCGTAGACAAAGCCGAGAGGGGAAGTGATTTTGAGTCCAACTATTGAAAGCTTTTTTTGCTTGATTTTCGTAACAGCTGTTTCATCCGAACAGTTGGGAGAAAACCACCTTTTCATAAGGATCTTTCAGCCGGAGGATGAAGCAATTTCCCGTCTACATTTCCTGGTGTCTTTCCATGAGATCAGTGGATAATTCTTCCTGGTATTTTAAAAGTTAGAAAAATAATAAGCAGTAAATGAGAATTAAGGAGGAGAAAGCCGACCCAGCCTTAGCTCTGTCAGCAGTCTGGTGGTTTGCCCCACGTTTCCAGATCACCTCAGTGTTCTCCAGGTTTGAGCAGGTCACCCTGAGTAACCTGTGTTTGTTTGACAAACCCTGATTACTGCTTGTAACTTTTGAACCTCAGTAGTCACAGAGAGATGAGGAGTGGCTCCGGGAAAGCATTTCGGCACGTCTCATCCCGTCCCCACGCTTGCGGAGCCCTCTCCAGCACACAGAATCCATCGCCTGCTGGGTCAGAGCCGCAGGTAAGCTGGCGGAGCCCCCAAACCAGCCCATGAGACCGGCTGGCCCAGATCAGATCCTGATAGCTGCTGGGAGCTGGGCTCGGCCACGGCCCTGCCCGGCCCCTCTCCCACCGCCCTTCCAGCCCTGC